ATCACTCAGACCACCTGCTCAACACTGCATTCAAACATCACTCAGACCACCTGCTCAACACTCATTCAACATCACTCAGACCACCTGCTCAACACTGCAATTCAAACAATCACTCAGACCACCCTGCTCAACACTGCATTCAAACATCACTCAGACCACCTGCTCAACACTACATTCAAACATCACTCAGACCACCCTGCTCAACACTGCATTCAAACATCACTCAGACCACCTGCTCAACACAGCATTCAAACATCACTCAGACCACCTGCTCAACACAGCATTCACACATCACTCAGACCACCTGCTCAACACTGCATTCAAACATCACTCAGACCACCTGCTCAACACAGCATTCACACATCACTCAGACCACCTGCTCAACACTGCATTCAAACACTCAGACCACTGCTCACACTGCATTCAAATCACTCAGACCACCTGCTCAACACTGCATTCAACATCACTCAGACCACCTGCTCAACACAGCATTCACATCACTCAGACACCTGCTCAAACAGCATTCAAACATCACTCAGACCACCTGCTCACACTGCATTCACACATCACTCAGACCACTGCTCAACACTGCATTCAAACATCACTCAGACCACCTGCTCAACACAGCATTCACACATCACTCAGACCACCTGCTCAACACACTGCATTCACACATCACTCAGACCACCTGCTCAAACACTGCATTCAAACATCACTCAGACCACCTGCTCAACACTGCATTCAAACATCACTCAGACCACCTGCTCAACACTGCATTCAAACATCACTCAGACCACCTGCTCAACACAGCATTCACACATCACTCAGACCACCTGCTCAACACTGCATTCAAACATCACTCAGACCACCTGCTCACCATGCATTCAAAATCACTCAGAACCACCTGCTTCAACACACCAGCATTTCAACACATCACTCAGACCACCTGCTCAACACAGCATTCAAACATCACTCAGACCACCTGCTCAACACTACATTCAAACTCTGACCATCAAAACATTGGGTTGCTGTTTGTCTCTGTGCGTATCTTCTTCATTTTGTGTCTTTGAGTTTTTAGAAAAGCGCTATATAAGTGTCATGTATTATTATTATTATTATTATTATTAAGTGTGTGAGGATTGATATATTAAATATTAGATTGATATTTAAACACACTTTTAATGATGTGCAGTTACATGAATGTATAAAGATATATGTAGTGATGTTATGAATGTGTCCTCAGAGCCTCACGTCCCTCACGTCCTGATTGAGAGCGGCGACATTACGCCGGGCGAATACGACGAGTTTCTGCACGGACGCAGCGACTTCATCAAGGCTGTGAAGAAGGACGGGAGCGACCTGAGGAAGGTGAGAGTCCCAGCATGCACCTGGGCTGAGGAGGGTCCTCCCAGCATGCTGGTACCCGGTAACTTAAATAGTAAAATAATATTATTAGTAGTAATAATAAGATCAGGAATACTAGCTTTAATGATACGAGTAGGAATAAGAAAACATTTCAATAAGCAAAATAATATTTAATTAAAAAATAATAATATTACAAATGATTTTAAAATATGAAAGATATCAAAAAAAAATGATTTAAAAAATAATATTATAATAATACGAAATAATGTAATTGTAATATAAATTAAAAGAAGTTAAAATTCTAAAAATATAAAATGAAACCTAAATAATAAAGTGTAAATGTTTTCTCCTGATGTAACACCCTAACATAGCACTGAGAGTATATATCATGCATGAGTTATTATCCCCCCACCCTCTCTCTCGGAGCAGCACATTAAACCTGTTTCCATGGCAACATGCTCCCACTTCCTGTCTGGAGAGCATTAACCCCCCCCCCCTCCAGGTCTAGACTACAACCCTCCTTGTTGTTAAATACCAACTATGTGCAATATATATATATATATGCCGTTAATAATGTGCAATATATACCTGGCTGCTAAATCCTCACAACAGTTACAGGATGTGTTTTTTGTAAATTGTGTAATTTTTTTGAATTTTATTATCTTTAATATTTGTTATGTGCATGCTTCTTAGTTATCATTAAGCTGACTCTGATTCTGGTTCTGGATCTGACTCTGGTTCTGGTTCTGGATCTGACTCTGGATCTGACTCTGGTTCTGGTTCTGGATCTGACTCTGGTTCTGGTTCTGGTTCTGACTCTGGTTCTGGTTCTGGATCTGACTCTGGATCTGACTCTGGTTCTGGATCTGACTCTGGTTCTGGTTCTGACTCTGGTTCTCAGGTGGAGATGATGAACCGCCGGCTGCACAAAGACCTGTTGCACAACCCAGTGGTGATGCTGAACTTCTGCCCCGACCTGAGGGGGGGTCACCAGGACCTGAGGGGGGGTCAGGACCCGAGGGGGGGTCACCAGGACCTGAGGGGGGGTCAGGACCCGAGGGGGGGCCAAGGGGAATATATCTTCCTGTTGGACAGAAGTGGCAGCATGAGCGGAGCCAACATCAGCCGAGTCAAGGTGCTTCTTTATCATTTATTATGTATCATGTGTGACAACACACACCTCAAACACCTGTAACAACACACACCTCAAACACCTGTGACAACACACACCCCAAACACCTGTGACAACACACACCTCAAACACCTGTGACAACACACACCTCAAACACCTGTGACAACACACACCTCAAACACCTGTGACAACACGCACCTCAAACACCTGTGACAACACACACCTCAAACACCTGTGACAACACACACCTCAAACACCTGTGACAACACACACCCTCAAACACCTGTAACAACACACACCTCAACACCTGTGACAACACACACCTCAAACACCTGTGACAACACACACCTCAAACACCTGTGACAACACACACCTTAAACACCTGTGACAACACACACCTTAAACACCTGTGACAACACACACCTCAAACACCTGTGACAACACACACCTCAAACACCTGTGACAACACACACCTCAACAACACCTGTGACAACACACACCTCAAACACCTGTGACAACACACACCTCAAACACCTGTGACAACACACACCTCAAACACCTGTGACAACACACACCTCAAACACCTGTGACAACACACACCTTAAATACCTGTGACAACACACACCTCAAACACCTGTGACACACCTCAAACACCTGTGACACACACACCTTAAACACCTGTGACAACACACACCTCAAACACCTGTGACAACACACACCTCAAACACCTGTGACAACACACACCTAAACACCTGTGACAACACACCTTAAACACCTGTGACAACACACACCTCAAACACCTGTGACAACACACACCTCAAACACCTGTGACAACACACACCTCAAACACCTGTGACAACACACACCTCAAACACCTGTGACAACACACACCTCAAACACCTGTGACAACACACACCTCAAACACCTGTGACAACACACACCTCAAACACCCTGTGACAACACACACCTCAAACACCTTGACAACACACACCTCAAACACCTGTGACAACACACACCTCAAACACCTGTGACAACACACACCTCAAACACCTGTGACAACACACACCTCAACAACACCTGTGACAACACACACCTCAAACACCTGTGACAACACACACCTCAAACATGTGACAAACACCACACCTCAAACACCTGTGACAACACACACCTCAAACACCTGTGACAACACACACCTTAAATACCTGTGACAACACACACCTCAAACACCTGTGACACACCTCAAACACCTGTGACAACACCACCTCAAACACCTGTGACAACACACACCTCAAACACCTGTGACAACACACACCTCAAACACCTGTGAAACACACACCTCAAACACCTGTGACAACACACCTAAACACCTGTGACAACACACACCTCAAACACCTGTGACAACACACACCTCAACACTGTGACAAACACACACCTTCAAACACCTGTGACAACACACACCTAAACACCTGTCAACAACAACACCTCAAACACCTGTGAAACACCACCTCAAACACCTGTGACAACACACAACCTCAAACACCTGTGACAAACACACCTCAAACACCTGTGACACACCTCAAACACTGTGACAACACACACCTCAAACACTGTGACAACACAAACCTCAAACACCTGTGACAACACACACCTCAAACACCTGTGACAACACACACCTCAAACACCTGTGACAACACACACCTCAAACACCTGGACAACACACACCTAAAACACTGTGACAACAACACCTCAAACACCTGTGACACACACCTCAAACACCTGTGACAACACACACCTTAAACCTGTGACAACACACACCTCAAAACCTGTGACACACACACCTCAAACACCTGTGACAACACACACCTAAACACCTGTGAAACACACACCTTAAACACCTGTGACAACACACACCTAAACACCTGTGACAAACACACACCTCAAACACCTGTGACAACACACACCTAACACCTGTGACAACACACACCTCAAACACCTGTGACAACACACACCTCAAACACCTGTGACAACACACACCTCAAACACCTGTGACAACACACACCTCAAACAACACCTGTGACAACACACACCTCAAACACCTGTGACAACACACACCTCAAACACCTGTGACAACACACACCTCAAACACCTGTGACAACACACACCTCAAACACCTGTGACAACACACACCTCAAACACCTGTGACACACACCAAACACCTGTGACAACACACACCTCAAACACCTGTGACAACACACACCTCCAACACCTGTGACAACACACACCTCAAACACCTGTGACAACACACACCTCAAACACCTGTGACAACACACACCTCAAACACCTGTGACAACACACACCTAAAACCTGTGACAACACACACCTCAAACACCTGTGACACACCTCAAACACCTGTGACAACACACACCTCAAACACCTGTGACAACACACACCTCAAACACCTGTGACAACACACACCTCAAACACCTGACAACACACACCTCAAACCCTGTGACAACACACACCTTAAACACCTGTGACAACACACACCTCAAACACCTGTGACAACACACACCTCAAACACCTGTGACAACACACACCTCAAACACCTGTGACACACACACCTCAAACACCTGTGACAACACACACCTCAAACACCTGTGACAACACAACACCTCAAACACCTGTGACAACACACACCTCTAACCCTGTGACAACACACACCTCAAACACCTGTGACAACACACACCTCAAACACCTGTGAAACACACACCTCAAACACCTGTGACAACACACAACCTCAAACACTGTGACAACACACACCTCAAACACCTGTGACAACACACACCTCAAACACCTGTGACAACACACACCTAACACCTCTGACAACACACACCTTAAACACCTGTGACAACACACACCTTCAAACACCTGTGACAACCAAACACCTCAAACACCTGTGACAACACACACCTAAACACCTGTGACAACACACACCTTAAACACCTGTGAACAACACACACCTCAAACACTGTGACAAACACACCTCAAACACCTGTGACAACACACACATTAAACACCTGTGACAACACACACTCTTAAACACTGTGACCAACACACACCTCAAACACCTGTGACAACACACACCTCAAACACCTGTGACAACCACACCTTAAACACCTGTGACAACACACACCTAAACACCTGTGACACACACACCTCAAACACCTGTGACAAACACACACCTCAAACACCTGTGACAACACACACCTTAAACACTGTGACAAACACACCTCAAACACCTGTGACACACCTCAAACACTGTGACAACCACACACCTCACAAACACCTGTGACAACACACACCTCAAACACCTGTGACAACACACACCTAAACACCTGTGACAACACACACCTTCAAACACCTGTGACAACACACACCTCAAACACCTGTGACAACACACACCTCAAACACCTGTGACAACACACACCCTCAAACACCTGTAACAAACACACACTCAAACACCTGTGACAACACACACACCTCAAACACTGTGACAACACACACCTCAAACACCTGTGACAACACACACCTTAAACACCTGTGACAAACACAACCTAACACACCTGTAACAACACACACCTCAAACACCTGTGACAACACACACCTCAAACACCTGTGACAACACACACCTCAAACACCTGTGACAACACACACCTCAACAACACCTGTGACAACACACACCTCAAACACCTGTGACAACACACACCTCAAACACCTGTGACAACACACACCTCAAACACCTGTGACAACACACACCTCAAACACCTGTGACAACACACACCTTAAACACCTGTGACAACACACACCTCAAACACCTGTGACACACCTCAAACACCTGTGACAACACACACCTCAAACACCTGTGACAACACACACCTCAAACACCTGTGACAACACACACCTCAAACACCTGTGACAACACACACCTAAACACCTGTGACAACACACACCTTAAACACCTGTGACAACACACACCTCAAACACCTGTGACAACACACACCTCAAACACCTGTGACAACACACACCTCAAACACCTGTGACAACACACACCTCAAACACCTGTGACAACACACACACTCACAACACCTGTGACAACACACACCTCAACACCTGTGACAACAACACACCTCAAACACCTGTGACAACACACACCTCAAACACCGGGACAACACACACCTCAAACACCTGTGACAACACACACCTCAAACACCTGTGACAACACACATCAAAACCTGTGACAACACACACCTCAAAACACCTGTGACAACACAACCTCAACAACACCTGTGACAACACACACCTCAAACACCTGTGACAACACACACCTCAAACACCTGTGACAACACACACCTCAAACACCTGTGACAACACACCTCAATACCTGTGACAACACACACCTCAAACACCTGTGACACACATCAAACACCTGTGACAACACACACCTCAAACACCTGTGACAACACACACCTCAAACACCTGTGACAACACACACCTCAAACACCTGTGACAACACACACCTCAAACACCTGTGACAACACACACCTAAACACCTGTGACAACACACACCTCAAACACCTGTGACAACACACACCTCAAACACCTGTGACAACACACACCTCAAAACACCTGTGACAACACACACCACAAACACCTGTGACAACACACACCTCAAACACCTGTGACAAACACCCACTCAAACACCTGTGACAACACCACACCTCAAACACCTGTACAACACACACCTCAACACACTGTAACAACACACACCTCAAAACACCTGTGACAACACACACCTCAAACACCTGTGACAACACACACCTCAAACACCTGTGACAACACACACTCACACAACCTGTGACACACACACCTCAAACACCTGTGACAACACACACCTCAAACACCTGTGACAACACACACCTCAAACACCTTGACAACACACCTTA